ACCGAAAGGAAGATTTTCGGGAATACTTTTTTCTTGTATTTCTTTCCCTCTTTTATTCATTATGGTATATCTTCCTTCCAGGAGCTGTTTTCTTATATGATTTTCTTAACATTTTTTTTCTCATGGATGAAAGGGGATGTTGTGGATATAGCAGTCTGATTGGGCCTCTTCTCAGCATTCTTTCTTCCTCAACATTTTCTGGCTGAACACTCTTGAGACTCTCTTTCTGCTGTTAATACAAAGATCCATTAGTTCACAATCTTCTCCCTCATTCAACATCTATTTGTTGACCATTTTTTTCGGTATCCAGTGATTTGCAAAGACAGATGTGTTATCCACTTCCTTAGGGCGTTCACTCTGAGATTATTAATCACATATTTATATGAACAAGGGTAGAACTGTAAATGATGCATCTGTGAGGGGAAAGTGAGGTGATGTGTGAAAGCATAAAATAGGAGAAGAGATATCTGAGCAGAGGATAAGTAAAAGTGAATGCGAATATGGAAAAGAGGAGAGAAATGTCAATTTGGGAAGGAAATGGCATTAGCAAGGGCTTATGGCAGGAAAGAGGAAATGGGTCATAACATATTAGAAGAACAAAAAATAGAAAGTATAGTTTTTTAAAAAAAAAAGTAACGTGCAAAACAGAGATAGGAAATAGACCATTCAGGGGAGAAATATTCTTAATTTGGGGAGAGGTCTAGGGATAGAGTGGGTTTCCTGGGTAAAAATGCATTCATTGGAAACTAGCTGAACAAACAAATTGAAGACAAAACAGGTTTTGAGAGAGCTCTACTTAGTAATTTTGGATTTGAAAGGTTACACCAAGGTCCAGAGTGTGATCTCCTAGGGGATTTTGCTGAGGTGAAAGGGAGGAGGCGGTTGTTGAAGAGAAGCAGTTTGAGGAACTGGTAGCCAGTATTGGCTGGGTCATCCTCTTAGATATTTAAATCATTCTCTCAGATATTTAAATCACCTGGGGATATGAAATTACCTTGGGGTCATGATGAAAAATGCAACTCTGGGCCAGAGGCTTTGGCAAATGGGAGAGAGTGACCAGGAGGTCACAAATAGTTGAGAGTTGACCATCGTTGCCATGGTTCTAGAAGAAATTGTATAATTTCTCTGTAGGGAATTGTATCTTCAAAAAGGTGAATGTTAATGCAGATGGCCATGGCAATTGAATGTGATTATAAAATTTATTTGATTTATATAGCCATGTGATTTTATGTTTTGAGCAATTATTAAGCAAACCTAAGAGTTGGAGAATAATTTCATGGGAAGTGAATAAACAGACAAAACTAAGGAAGTCTAGAGAGGCCCATGGTGGCCATTGGAATGGGCAAGGCTAACATGCTAAGGTGTTCTTATTTATTCTTCAGGAGCTGGAGAGTTGACAAAGGCTGTGTGGGTTTGTCTGAGATTGTAACATGATGATTGCTATGTTTTAGAAGGGATCATTGTAAATGGTATGTTAGGTGGCTTAGAGAAGGCAAGCAAACCAAAAGAGCAGAATTCAGGGACACCTACAGTTGTGCAGGTGAGGGCTCATTGGACTTTGAGATCAATGGGAAAGGAGGAAAGGAAGGGCAGGTGTACAATATTTTACTGGATCAATGTATTTAGGACTCAGTTATCAGCAGGGAAATTTCTTAAATATAGCAGTGCCTAAGAGAGAGATAAAGCCAGGGAGGAGGTGTGTTTAAGGAAAAATATACATTTCATTTTGGGTCCTGGAGTATATCAAGGGAAGTGTAACTACAAATGTAGGTATTAAACTTAGGGAAGTACTACACTGGAAAAGCCTCTACTGGTTAACTCCTCCTGTGGTTTGGGATATGATGTATTCCCAAAAAACTCCTGTGTTGATGCAGGAATGTTCAGAGGTGAAATGATGGTTTGGGAGAACCGTAATCTAATCAGTCCATACTAGTTTGAATGGATGGACTGGGTGTATCTGTAAGTAGTAGGCAGGTGGGATGTTAGTGGAGGAGGTAGGTCACTGGGGGCGTGCCCAGGGAGTGTTGATCTTCTCTGTAGCCCCTTCGTCCTTTTCTTCTCTCTGCTTTCTGGCCACCATGAGATGAGCTCTTTTTCCTTTGTTGTACCCTTTGGCAATAATGTCCTGCTTCCTTTGGGTTCAGAGCAATGGACTTGGCTATCTATGGAGACCTCTGAAACAGTGAATCCCAAATACATTTTTCTACTCTAATTTATATTTTGGGGGAGTGGGTAACCAGGGATTTAACTCAGGGGCACTTGGCCATGAAGCCACATCCCTAGCCCTATTTTGTATTCAGAGTCTCTCAGAGTTGCTTAGTTCCTTGCTATTGCTGAGGCTGGCTTTAGACTCATGATCCTCCCAAGCTGCTGGGATTACAGTCATGTGCCACCACGCCCAGCCCAAGTTGTTCTTGTCAGATTCTGGTCACAGTGATGCAAAGTGATTTAAATTGTTTTAGTGATTCTGGTCACTAAAACAATTCCTTAACAGCGAATACTCATCCTGGCCTTCTTCCTCTTTGCAGCCCACAGGTACTCATCCTGTCTTCTCTCCTTCACTTTCCTTCACCTTTTTTTTATCATTTCCATGTTGCTCACTGTTTACTTCTAAAGACAATGTTTCTCTGTTTCCCACATTGCAGCTCTCTTTTCAAACTTTAGATGATTTCCCAGTAAACCCCACATCTCTTTTTTTCTTAGTTCCGTCATCTGCATCTGCCACCCTAATGTTTTGCCATGCTGTCTTGTGGCTGTCATTTTACTTATGTATTTCCTCCTTCAGACTTTAAACTAAAATTTTAGAGGACAGGGACTCACTAAAGTGTTTGTATCTCTCCTCTTGGGGGCTTTAAAAATAACATGTTTAATGAATTAAGAATTGTTTAATTAATATTTTTTACTAATTTGGGGAATTATATTCTGAGGCATTCCTTTAAGGAAAATGAATACAATTAAATAATTCATAACAAGTCTACAATCCCAAATGTTCAAGATGAACTTACAAAGGTTCAAGAACTTGTAAAAACTTGCATATTTTTCATATTCCAGTGTTTCTCTCTTATCTATAAATTAAAATAGATGAAACTTGGCCCTGCTTTCTTTTGTCTTCTTTCCTGAAGCACCCTTCACCAAAGCCCACAGAATACAAATCAGGAAAGTTGTGTTCATTTTTGGAAATGGAGACAATGCTCTTGCTCCTCTTCTCTCACACATTTCTCTGGAGGTCTGCCAAGATCCAAAACATCAGTATGAGCTATTAGTATATGAATTTACCCTCCAATATAACTGGGTCTTTTAAATTTTAGAGATATCCCCCCTCCCTCTCCCTCTCCCTTTCTCTCTGCATTCACACAGATAATGTCCTCTCCAGAAGACACCCTCATGGACGTGATTTCTGGATGCTGCTGTAACTGGCTAGATAGCTAGAGTATAATTGAAGAAGATGGCTGTGTTTAGAGGTTGGGAACGACGTACATTTAATGAATGCTCCTGAAAAAGGAAAGAGGACAGAGTGTTCAAATATGTAGGAGAATATAAGGGAGAAGGAAATTTTGAAAAATTTCAGAAGGAAAATCTGAAAATTCACAGGGACAGAAAATCTTCATGGATGCCAAGGGCTGGCTGGATGGAGGATTGAGGAATGACTATTAATGGGTACAGGGTTTCTTTAAGGGATGATGAAAATACTCTGGAATGAGTAATGATGGGTTCACAACTTTATAAACGTAATAAGAAACACTGAACTGTACTTTAATAAAAAAAAGGAACTAAATAAGCAAAATCCAAGAGGGAAGAGAAACTGAGAGATGAAAATACAAAGAAAGCACGTCTAATGCCAGAGAGGCTGAAGACTCATGGGAAGGTAATGGGATTCCATGATGAAGGAGCCAGTGGTGAACTTAAAGAGAGCAATTCCAACAAAATACTCACTCCTATCTCTTCTTGCTGTACCAAAGTTATGTAAATGTGTACGGTTATTCCTTCATAAATTTCTCTGTTGGCAGAATGCCTAATGATGCTGCAGGTCTAGGAATGTGTTCAGTTGACATACCTGAAAAGACATTCTTATGTGTTTTTGGAAATTCTGAAAATGTATGCTGATACTCTCTGCTGGGAAGTATATGTGTGACATATTTTCTGCCCTCAAAAATCAAACTCACAGCTGGGTGTGGTGGTGCATGCCTGTTATCCCAGTGGCTCTTAAGGATGAGGCATTATGATTACAAGTTCAAAGCCAGCTTCAGCAGCTTAGCAAGGCCCTGTGCAACTTACAGAGAACCTGTTTCACAATAAAAAATGAAAAAAAGCTGGGGATGTGGCTCAGTGGTTAAGTGCCCCTGGGTCCAATCTCTGATTTCAAAAAAAAAAAAAAAAAAAAACCAACCAAACAAACAAGCAAACCACAGCCCACAATCAGTTAATTCATGTGGTCTTAATCTCAAACACCATCTCCAGTGTCACTAAGTGTAACGTAAGTCACATTATGTGAATATCGATAGTTGCTTTCTGTGGTATGACTATTTGGCATGTTATTTACCCAGCCTGTGACAGTTTATTGATGGAGTAGTGACCTTGTGACTCTGGGCCAACCACGTATTTTCTCTGAGCTACATTTACTTGATTTTTAAGATGAGGAGGGTAATAAATATTAATCTGAGCACCACTTGTAAGAAAAAAAATACATGAAAGTGCTTTGTAAGCTATCAAGTATATTTTTATTGATATTGTTCTTAAATAACAGTCAAATCCTTTATCTGTGGTGTTTTTTTTTTTTTTAAATTTTATACTTCGGACTATGTAGGACCATCCCTCTTAATGCCTCCCATGTAGAATTGCAGGCTTCACATCTATACAACTTACTGAGGCCTGCCTTGCTCAGTACTTGTTGGTTGTATTAAATACTATTTTTTTAAAAGAATTCCATTCTCATACCACCTTTGACCTCTCTGTTGCCTTTATCACTTCTTTTCATTTGTTTCATTCGACTCTTCACTTAGGTTTTCCAAATGAACCTGCTGCGCTCATTGCTCTTGGCACGATTAAGGAATGGCTGACAAAAAATCACCACGAGGTAAGAGTAACAGCACAATCAGGGAGCTTTCCTGATGGTGTCATTTGATTTTTTAATTAAAAAAAGCACCTAAGTAAAATAAATATCAGCTAGTCCTAGGCATTGTGCCAGATTTAGCTGACCATTCTTCATTTGGGTTACATTGGTGATTAAATATTTCCCTGTAATCTGTTGGCTGAAGTAAGTATATTGATCAGTTTGATGGTGAAGAGGGGTGAAGTCATCAGATTCTTCTCACCATAATCTCATTTTTACATTTTCGGATATTGTGGGTTGTACATGTGGAAGAGAGAGTAGGATGAATTTCGTTAAAAACAAATGGTTTTTCCTGTGCTGTTTTCCTTGAAGAGTCAAATTGTCTTTGTTGACAGCGGATTCTTGGAGTACAGTAATTTGGGGGTATTTTGTACTGTCTTTATTTATAACTAATCATCTTCCTAAAGTTATTTCTGAGTGTGAGATCGGAGTAGGCTTGGATAATTGATAATGAAATTGTTATAACCAGGCTTTTTTTAAATGAAGCTAAATGTTTCCATTAGAGGGTTCTTTGCGCCTCCTGTTTTTATTATTGTATAAGATATTTGGGTATATTCAATGATGAACAAGAGAATTATACAAATAAAGCAATAAAATAATTAAAGTCCACATAACTTTAGTTTTCAGAGGTTTGTCCATTTATATATTTAACAGCAAGTAGATTTTAGACAATGCACAATCTTGAGCACTTTCCTTCTGATTTTGCCTTTTTATTCAGGCAGTAATGTAAGTACTACCAAGGATTTTTTTTTTCCTTCTATCATGGGCTGTGAATTTTGTTTTTTATTTGGTTAAGAGATGGATTATTCACAAGTGGTCGAGTATGAAAACAGTATGGGTGTTTCTTGTGAGAGAGTTGTTGTACCTCTGTGTGTTTAAAGAAACAGCAGTGTGATTTTCTAATTATCCTACTCAACAATTCTTAACCAGATATGAATGTTGTTAATCTTAAGAGGAAGGAAAGACCACATGGCCAAACATCTATTTTGATGCTTGCTCTTATTTATTTCTCTTACTTTGAAATATCTATATTTCAACTTCAATTTAGAGGATGCCTTAAGTTTCCTCAAAGAAGCAAAATAAAAACAAATAACTAAAATATCCAGCTTATAAAACACATCTTTGACATGAGTTGTTTTATTTTTACAGCAACCTTATGAAACATCTAGGAAAGGTATTGTTATCCTCTTCCCCATCCAGCATCAAAAGTTAAGTGATATATTCAAGAGTAGAAAGTCACAGAGTCAAGAGTCTAACACAGTTCTCATGATTCTAACAGCTAGTCTTCATTACAATGCTACTGAGGCAAGGTAGAGAAGTTCAGTTCCATTGAAAACCAGTTATCTTTCAATATATGTCTTTGTCACAGCAAATGCTCCTTAGCTGGACCACTGGGCTTTGTAAGATGACATATGTCATCTTGGCATGTGATGAAAATTTGCATAAACACTTCTCATTCAGGTACTGATGAAAAGTAAACATGTTGGTCACATTCACAGCACACTGACAACTTCTAATGATGGATTTGTGATGGTTATGTTATTCAGAAAGTTAGTTTCCCTAGAAACTTCTTAGCCCAGTATTTTCTACTTAATTCATTTGCCTGCCCTGTCTTTGAGTTCATTCTTTTTCTTTTGTATAATATTCTTGCACATTTCTTGGATCCATTGTAGAAAATTTAGATAATTTAGATTGGGAAATATGTATCAGTTGTTGAACCTTTAAACATATCTTGTGCTAATTCCCTTTTAAGATTCCTTGTTTCAATATGCTCTGGCTAGTTGGAACAAGTTAATTTGAACACATCAGGGTTCACCGAATAAATGAATTATAAGTGGTAGATCATAGATAAAAGCTATACAAATTGATTATCTAGTAGTATTTGTATTTATTTTTTGCTCTGTTAAACAAACGAGGTAGAGGACTTGTGAAAGTGCACTGCTTCTAATTCAGTTGTCTCTTCACTGCAGTTTTGTTTTGACATCCTGATTGTTTTAGCTGTTTATTCATTAATTCACTCGTTTGATAAATATTTATTGAATTCCACTAAGCATCAGACACTTTTTTACATACCAGGCACAGAGCAGTGAAAAACAAACAATCCCTGCCTTATGATATTTGTAGTCTAGGATAAAAAAATACAAAGTAAGTAAATAATAAGAGAGTTCAAAGGGTGCTTCACAAAATAAATCAAGGTGACTAGATTGTGAGTTATTGAGGGATGCGGTTGTGGAGAATGTAACGACTGCTCTGAAGACTGGCTCTTGGAAGAAAGAGTCATAAAATAAGAAGGAGTAGGTCAAGTCATACTGAGGTCTTGACCTAGAATGTTCCACACTGAAGAAGCAAAAAGAGAAGAACGATGATGAGAGAACGAGCTTATAGTTTGCAAGCAATGGTCACTGTGATTGGAGCAGAGAGAGAAAAGAATGACAGGAGACAAATGAGGAAACATAGGTAGAGGTGCAATTATAGGGTCTTGTGGTTCATTGACAGACTTTGAATTTTACTCTGAGCCTGTTGCATAGTTTTTGGAGGGTTCGGGTATATTGATGTTGTTATATAATTAGTTAGTGTAATTAGTTAATGTAATTTTATATGATCTTTTTACTGTTAAAAAATGAGTCTGGCTGGTTTTGGGAAAATGGCCTTTAGAGATATGACAGTAGGAAAAGGAAGACTGATTAAGAGGCTCCTGCTGTAATTCCAGGCAAAAGATGGGGTGCTTTGTAACACAGTGATGATAGATAGAAAAGGAGGTAACAAACATCAGGTTTGGGATACACTATAAAATAGGATTTAGAGTTCATTTTCAGTTAAGATAGACTAGGCTATGCTGCAGTTACAAATGATACCTGGATTCAGTGTCATAAAATGGCAAAGGTTTATTTGTCACTTGAACTGTTTGTATTTCAGGAGTCAGCAGGGGACTCTGAATTAGTTAGGAACCCAGGCTGACAGATACTGTACTATACAAAATAACATCTATCAGATGACAAGAATAGATAATCAATTATTTTGTAGGGATGCTTCTACACAGGAATGATACACGTAACTTTCCCTCACATTACATTGTCCAGAGGAAAACACAAATGCAATCCTTTCATATGTTCAGAGCAGAGAAAACTGAATATTAGCAAAAAGTAGTAATGTTTATCATAGAGGAAAGTTGGAGGTGATATATGACAAAGAAGAGAAGAGTCAAGAATTTCAACGGAATTTCTGACCTATGCGCCTGGATAAAATTTGGTGCATTTAATGAGATGGAGAAAATTGGTATAGGAGTATGTTCATATGAAAATATAAAGAAAACAAAAATTATGTTGCAGACAGGTAAATCTGACATGTTTTTAGATTTCTAATGAAGATTTCAAATGGTCAAGTTGGTTATTTGAGTCTGAAGTCCAAATAAAGTGATCAAAAAAGACATGGTAAAATTGAGCAGATATTCCATAACATGAACTTGGGTTTGAGTCTTAATTTGAGCTTGCTTGAAAGAAGTAGAAATATAGTCAAGCCAGCTTAGATAAAGGAAAATTATGCAGTAGAAATGAACTATTTTAAAGAAGTGTTTTGTAATTCAAGGGCCAGATCTAGAGCAAGAGGATCTCACAAGTGCCTGGAATCCATCAAGAAGCAACGTGGCACATTTTCTCCCTCATTCCCTATCTTTCATATATTGCTATTTCATTATCATCATTGTTATTGTTTTGCACACTATCTTATACACTCATTTAGTTGTTTGCACATGTCCCATTTTGAATCTGACTGTCCTTTTGTAAGCCAGCCAGCTCTGATGAAGCAAGGCCAGGATCAAGTTTGATGAGTAAAGTTACATCTTCTGAGAATTTAGATAATCAAGTCTCCTAAAGTTTTCCTTTATTTTTATTTTTTTTAATTTTTATTTATTTATTTATTTATTTTTGATAGTTTTTTTTTATTGGTTGTTCACAACATTACAAAGCTCTTGACATATCATATTTCATACATTAGATTGAAGTAGGTTATGAACTCCCAATTTTACCCCAAATGCAGATTGCAGAATCACGTCGGTTACTAAAGTTTTCCTTTAAAAACACAGAGAATCTGTGTAATGTGATTTCCCCCATCAGTGGTCATACTTACCTTAGATAAGCATGTGCTTCAATAGTGCATGTTTTCTGAAAGTTTGGCTATCATATATCATAAATAATTGATGTTGTCCTACAATTAGTGAACTTTTGCATTTCACCATTTAGTTACGCTCTGATTTTTAAATGGTCAGGAATGGACACTTCTTTTTTTTTTATTCCGGCATGAAGGTAGATTTTATTCTAAATAATTTCACTAATCACTGCCAGCTGGTTTGGTTGGGCACTTCAACATTCAGAGTCCTGACTTGAGAACTTGGGTCCAGTGGGCAGGAGCATGAAAAACATATGCCATTGTCTATCTTATTTAGTTTGCCCAAAACTTGAATTGTGAGAGGTCTGCTATCACTACATAGTAAGAGGACTCAGGAACTTGAGGGAGATCGTACAACTAAATGAATCCTACAGTCAGCTCTGACTTCAGCTGCTCAGTGGAAGAGACAAGGCAGCACTTTAACAAAACATGGAAGGATAATCTCAGCAGGATAGAATTGGGGCACAAAAAAAAAATGATGTTCCAGAACTGAAAATGGTAATGACTCACAAACAGAAAAATTAAAAATCAGAAAAGAACTTTCACCGCTGAGAATTGACTTATTGCTACAGGAAGACCCCTTAGATGAATTATCTCACAATACAGAACTGAAATGCAAAGAAATAGAAATCTTGACTGAAAGATAAGTACGTGGCAGAGAGTCTTAGGGATCAAGCATGAGGTGGGCAAAGGGTCAAGATTACTCACCAACATTTTCAGCTAGGTTGTTAAGAACTTCTGAGTTCAGAAAACCAAAAGAAAAGAATATCACAGTGAGTTATAAAAATTTGACAACAACA